CTTCGTGCCTACCGCCAGTACGAGGCCAAGCTCCGCGCTTCGGAAGCCGCCCTTCCGATGCGCCATGCAACCGCGACGGGTCGCGCCCGGGTGATTCCCGTCGCCCCCGTCGTGGTCTCGACCCCCCAGCCGAGGGCTGCCGTGCCGGTGCTTCCACCTCCGGTCCCTATGGACGTGGACCGCACCCGCGCCCGCAATGCCCCTCGCCGTGGCTGCTTCCGCTGCGGCGATCCGAACCACTTCGCGAAGGACTGCACCGTTCCGGTCGACATCCGGTCAACTGATGTGCTCGACGAAGTGATCCGGCAGCTGGGAGGCGAGATGCTGGAGGAGCTCCTTGCCAAGGTAGCGTCCGCGCAGGCTGTCGCGGACCGTCCGGTCATTTCGGAACCGGAGGATTTTCCCCTCCGCGACGAGTGAGCGGTGCGCCCTCGTTCGCGTCCCCTAATCGTTTCGCTGTTCTATGTAATGAGTCTGACAATATATCTCTTGCATCCCCCGAAACGATAGACGCACCCCCTGATCCGAGCGGTACTCCGGCCGCTCCGGTCCTTCCGAAAACCCGGCCGCCTCGTAGGCCGTCTTGGGAACGCAAGCTTCCGAAACGGTATACGATTGCCGCCGCTCCGAGCGCCAACTCCCTCCACCTCCCTCTGGAGATTGAGTCTGCCGACAATGCCGCCAAGCTCTCGCTCAAAGGCCTTGTCGACTGCGGAGCCACCTCCGAGTTCATCGACTCCGAGTACGTCCGGTCCACCTCCTTTCCGATCCGGCAGCTCTCGCAGCCAATCCCGGTCTTCAACGTCGACGGTACCCCGAACGAGGCTGGCTCCATCCGGGCCGTCGCGGACGTGGTATTACGCTATAAGGGCCACACCGAGCGCGTGCAACTCGCCGTCACGCGCTTAGGTAAGCAGAAGCTCATCCTTGGGTACTCCTGGCTCCGGAAGCACAACCCGGAGATCAACTGGGACACTCAGGAGGTCAAGATGAGCCGATGCCCGTCCGGTTGCAACACCTGCACGGACGAAGCCCGGGCCGAACGCCGACATGCGAAGGCCGTCGCCCAGATCCTCCGGTCCATCCGGTCCCAGCCCAGCGTGGACATCTGCGCTGTCGACGTGGATGACCGGAGCGGCGAGGACGACGACGACTTCGACTTCGATGAGGAGTTGCCGGAACTCTCTCCGGATGATTCCGACGATTCCGATGACGAGGACGATCCGCTCGAGGACGGTGACCGGATCCTGTACACCCGGTTCTCGCCTCCGGAGGATATCCGCGCGACCAGCACCGTTTCGCAACGACTGGCCGAGGCGTATGCCAAAAACTCCGCTCCGGCCGGTTCGGAACTTCCGGACTGGGTGCGTGATTTTGAGGCCGTCTTCAACCGGGAGTCCTTCGACTCGCTCCCTGAGAGCCGAACCTGGGACCACGCCATCGAACTCGTTCCGGACTCGAAGCCCGCCAACTGCAAGGTCTACCCGATCTCGCCCCTCGAGCAACGCGAACTCGACGCGTTCATCGAGGAGGGCTTGTCTACCGGACGGATCCGGCCGTCGAAATCCCCGATGGCCTCTCCGGTCTTCTTTGTCAAAAAGAAGGACGGAGGCCTCCGGTTCGTCCAGGACTATCGGGCGCTCAACGCGATGACCGTAAAGAACCGGTACCCCCTGCCTCTGATCAACGATCTCATCAATCGTTTGAAAGGAGCCCGGTTCTTCACGAAGCTCGACGTCCGGTGGGGCTTTAACAACGTCCGCATCCGGGAGGGTGACGAGTGGAAGGCCGCATTCCGTACCAACCGGGGGCTCTTTGAGCCACTGGTAATGTACTTCGGCCTTACCAACTCCCCGGCGACCTTCCAGACGATGATGAACGACATCTTCCAAGATCTCATCTTGTCTGGCGACGTCATGGTGTACCTCGACGACATCCTCATCGCGCACTCGGACCTCCGGAAGCACCGGGAGATCGTCCGGGAGGTCCTCCGACGTCTCCGGGAGCATAAGCTCTACTTGCGACCGGAGAAGTGCGAGTTCGAGAAGTCCTCGATCGAATACCTCGGCGTGATCATCTCTCACGATCATGTGGAGATGGATCCGGTCAAGGTCGCCGGAGTTTCCGCTTGGCCGGCGCCGGAAAACAAGAAGGACGTGCAGCAGTTCCTCGGCTTCACGAACTTCTACCGGCGGTTCATCCGCGACTTTTCCGACATCGCCCGCCCTCTCTTCGACCTCACCAAGAAGGGCCAGGCGTGGGTCTGGACCGAGAAGGAGGCTGCTGCGTTCCAAGCCTTGAAGGACGCAGTGGTCACCGAGCCGGTCCTGATCCTTCCGGACGAGTCCCGGATGTACCGGGTTGAGGCGGACAGTTCCGACTTCGCGTCCGGAGCTGTCCTCTCTCAGGAGGGTTCCGACGGGAAGTGGCATCCGGTTGCCTTCTTCTCCAAGAGCTTGAGTCCGGTCCAGCGCAACTACGAGATCCACGACAAGGAGATGCTGGCGATCATCCGGGCGCTCGAGGAGTGGCGGCACTTCCTCGAGGGCTCTCAGCATCCGGTCGAGATCTGGACGGACCACAAGAACTTGGAGTACTTCCGGAAGGCGCAGAACCTCAACCGGAGGCAGGCCCGGTGGTCCCTGTACCTGTCCCGGTTCGACTTCTCGCTTCACCACAAACCCGGACGCCTTATGGGCCGCGCGGACGCCCTGTCCCGACGCGCTGACCATGGAGCGGCTTCGGACAATCAGGATGTGACGCTCCTGACTCCACAGCTGTTCCATATCCGTGCGTTAGAGGGTGTTATAGTCTCCGGACCGGAAGTCCCGATCCTCCGCGAGATCCGTGATGCCCTCGCCGGCGTACCTGACCTCGAGGACCCCGTCGCTCTCGCGGCCCGGGAACTTTTGAAGGTTCGTGGTGCCCGGTCCTCCCGGTCCTCCGAGTGGCATGTCGAGTCCGGTCTGCTCTATTTCCGTGGCAAGATCGTTGTTCCCCGGAACAAGGACCTTCGTCGCCGGATCTTGGAGCAGCACCACGACACCCGCATTGCTGGGCATGCCGGCCGTTTCAAAACGTTGGAGCTCATTTCCCGGAACTACTGGTGGCCCCAGCTGTCCCGTCACGTTGGCCGGTATGTAGCGACCTGCGACTTGTGTCTCCGGACCAAGGCGCTCCGGAAGCTTCCGGTCGGGGAGTTGCACCCGACGGAGATTCCGGAGGAGCGCTGGAGTGCCGTGTCGGTGGACTTCGTCGTCGAACTTCCGGAAGCGCACGGCTACAATGCGATCATGGTTGTAGTCGACGTCCTCGGTAAGCGAGCCCACTTCATCGAGTGCCACACCCAGATCGACGCTGTTGGTGCGGCCCGGCTCTTTTACCGGAACGTCTGGCGCCACCACGGAACTCCGGAGAAGTACATCTCCGACCGGGGCCCTCAGTTCGTAGCGGAGTTCACCACGGAGCTCTGGCGCCTCATCGGAATCAAACCCGCGACCTCCACGGCGTACCACCCGCAGACCGACGGGCAGACGGAGCGGGTAAACCAGGAGATGGAGCAGTTCATCCGGCTTTTCACTAATTACAAGCAGGATGACTGGGACGAGCTCCTTCCGGCCGCGGAATTCGCCTACAACAACCACATTCACTCTTCTACGCAACAGGTCCCGTTCATGACGGACACCGGACGGCTCCCCCGGATGGGTTTTGAGCCGAACGGCTTGCGTTCGAAGGTTGAGTCGGTAAACGAGTTCCGAGACCGGATTGCATCCGGAGTCTCCGAAGCCCGCGCAGCTCTGGTAAAGGCGAAGGAGGAGTTCAAGCGGTACTACGATCGTCGGCGCACTCCGGCTCCGGACATCAAAGTCGGAGATCGTGTCTGGGTTGATGCCTCGGACGTCCAAACGACCCGCCCCTCGGTCAAGCTCTCTCACCGACGACTGGGCCCCTTCAAGGTCATCCAAGTCGTCGGCCGAGGTGCGTATAAGCTTGCGCTCCCCCCCCGTCTCTCCGGCCTCCACCCGGTCTTTCCGGTCGTGAAGCTTCAGCTCGCGGAAGAGGACCCCTTTGAAGGCCGCCCCGGCTACGACGAGCCTCCTCCGGTCATCGACGAAGAGGCCCCTCCGGACGCCGCGCCGGAGTGGGAAGTACAGGAAATCCTGGAAGCCAAGATACGCTATGGCGGACTCTGGTATTATTGTCGGTTTAAAGGATATGATAACTCACATGATAAATGGGTTAAGCATTCCGACCTTTTCGCCCCGGAACTCGTCGCCGACTACTACCGGAGATACCCTGCTGCCCCTCGCTCCATCGCCTCCGCCGCTTTCGACTCGCTCCCCTTCTGGGACCCGGCCCTCCGTATCCGTTCTATGCGTCGAGGCGCCGCATTCCAAGGGGGGGGTGATGTCAGGGGAACCCCTATTTCCGGCCCTTCCGCTTCCGCATCCGGACCTTCCGGTCCCGTTCCGACCCGTTCCGGCTCCTCCCGATATCACATGGCCTGTGATTCCGCCCGGGACCTCTGCCGATCACTCCGGTTGCTATCACATGCCCCCCGTCCGTAGTTACTTATATACCGGGATCTGACGCGGGTGATCCTTAGTCTTTCTTCTCTTCGGATCCCCCTCGTCAGGTCTGTCCATTTGTATCTGTAGCTACTCTGTGATATTTAACTTCGGATCCCCCTCGTCAGGACTCTTGAGTATACTCGGGCCTTGAGGTTGCCCTTACAGAACCCTGCTCAATTGCACTACTCTATAGCAGAGCACTTCCCTTGGACCTAAGAATCTTCTCCCTTGAATTGTTAAAATTCAAAGTCAAGTACAACCAGTGTTTTAATTCTAAAGGAAAAGAGGAAGAAAAAGGGAAAGAAAAAGGGCAACTGTGAATGACCCTAATATCTCCACCGGCCATGTGGCAGAATGGTTACTGCGTTGCATTCCGACCATGTAGGGACATGAACCCATCATGAAGGCAGAGAGTGGGGTATTTCTACCGGCCGTGTGGCAAAATGGTTACTGCGTTGCTTTCCGACCACGTAGGGATGTGAACCCACCATGAAGGCAGAGACTGTGGGTTCGAGTCCCACCATGGTCGGACTAGGGGTCCCTTTTTGCGTGCGTCCAATCCTTTCTTTTTTACGCAGCTAGCTGCTATAGATCACCCACTCGATCTTTGAGAACGTGGCGGCTGTTTCCCGAAATTTAGAGCTGCCAACCGTTCGACGCGAGTACATACATGATTATAGGCAGTCCCTGTAAACCTCCGAATGCCTATTTCTGTACTGAACAACTGCCGGGGAACATGATTCATCGGCCATCATTCCCGCCAATTCGCGAATTTTGCACTAAGTCCCTCCTAACGCGCCCATCCAGATCTTCAGGTCTTCGAAGCGAGGAGACACTCTGCAATCCACAAATGACAGTGTATTTGCCACCCTCGAAATATACATCCCACAAACCGAGTGTTGGTAAAAATCGTCTACGAAAAGAAACCGGACTCTTGCAGATGCTGGTAATGCTCATTGCGATGTGCTCGGACTCTCTTGTCCACACCTGCTCTCCAAAACGGCGCGATTGCCTGCTCTCATGAGCAGCTTGTATGGCGGTAGAGAACTACGCGAACTCACCGATGCAACCAAATCATACAGGGTATCCAAGAGAAAATTATGCTTCGGAGTCACACCGCGCGTCGACGCCCTGAAGAGCTCGGTGATCATGTCCGCTGTGATGTGTGCATGACCATTTTGCACTCCTGTGTAGAGATGGTTAGACCAACGCCACATCAATTTTATTTTACCTTTGAGGAGGGCCTTGGCAGCGACTTCGGCCGTCAAACCCTCATCCGTGCTTTCGATATCTCGCACAATCCGGGGTTTCGTCTTGTTCTCCTCGTCGAAACCAGGGGTAAACATTGTCGGCGGAAAGAAAATGTGAACGTCGATGTCGTAGAGCATAAATTCGGATTGCAATGTGTCCGCGAGGCCTCGAATAGAATAAATAAAGACCGTAGATGAGTCTAGCCGCACCACCGTACCTCTTAGCGCATGTTTTGCTGGAGCATATGAAGCCCATCCAACAAACGACATGTACCCCAGAGTAGAGGAGACAAGCACAATTTTGCCCTTGCATCCGTCTCGCACCATTTTCTTGGCGGCCGCCTACATGTATTTATTGGTACCAGCGGTTCTTGAATTTCGACTCACTGACCATCACGGTCCACGCCTGGACCCAGTAACCGTTAACCATGCCCTGAACCATGTCTTCCGGCGTCATGTCCATGAAGAACATCGGCTTCGAGCTCCCAGCACACGCAAAAACCGCATCGGGCGACCTCCTGTCATGGGGCTTGCAAACTGCAGCAAGGGCAGCGGCAGAGTCCACAGCAGTGTTCAAGGAAAATGAATACGCTGCAAGGAGTTGGTTTGGGTGCTGTCGGCATTTCTACAAGTAGAGAACGGCGTTATGAGACGTCGTTTTGTGTCAAATGTGCGCGTGATTTTTCACCTCGATCTCCTCCAGCGCCTTGTCCAACTTTTCTTGGTTCCGGGCTACAATGGACACATGGGCGCCTTTGGCAACGAGGATCTGGGCAAGACAGAGCCCCAATCCTGTGCTTCCGCCGGTGATGTATACATGCTACAACGAGAGCAAGTAAGGCCGCGTTCTCTAAAGGCAGCCACTTACAAGACCGTCAGGATTCCAGGATTTCCGGCCGAACCACATCAATAGGGCTGAGGGGCGTCAAGAAAGAAGGACTTGAGTCGACGTCGGCGTCCCGTCGGCACTGCATCGGGGACCTCTTTTGCTTTGAAAGTTGTGATCACAAAATACTTCCGCGGAACAAAGTTGGCCGTCAACACAGTATTTTTCCAGACTTTTCCTCACACTGCGATGTAATGTACAAGTGGTGTAACAGTTGCGTTGCTGCAAAGTTGCCTGGGTGCGCCTCAAACTATTCTAGGATGATCGTTGAACAATTTCAACGAGTTCAAACTTGTTATTTAAAACGGTTGAGACAGTTGGGGCTAACATAATATGTACCGCCCTTGTTAGCCGGCCTGCCGCAATCGCAGTTTTCTACACCCACAAAAGCCAAGCACCTTCCTGTTGTCTGTCATGATCTAATTCTTCGTGCACATCGGACTGCCTTCTCACTATGGACCCCACCGAGTCAATGACGGAGAACCTAGTGGCGTCGGCGATCCTGCTACGGAATGTGAAAGTCAGTGCTGCTCTGTGCGTTTGTGGGTCCAAGCAGCTAAATTCGCATTTTCCAGTACATGAACGGTACGGAGAAAACTCTCTCATGCGCAGTTTATTGAAGAATGGACTAGTGGTTAGCATAACAATACTGGTGTGCATCAAGCGGTTTCGGTCGCGTCCATATGGCTTATCAAATTGCTCCAGGTTTTCGACTACTTGTTGTGTCTTAATCTGGAGGTAAGCCTTATCCACTCGATGAATACCGGTTCAAACATTTCAGGTATCTTTGGTCTGGCGGTCGAAATGGAGCTTCAATAAGCTCTTTTTCCTGTGTGCCCGCTATCCTCCCTTTATCGACGTGCCCATCGTCATGTGGTGTATGGTCGACTGATTCCTCGAACTTTTCGCGGGCTTATCCATCCACTTCAGATTCATTGGCTCCCATAGACCCGAACGTGCGTCTTTTAAGCATTGAACCAAGCTTGGGTTGATTTTCCGTTTAGAAATGTCTCCCAATTTATACTGTCGCATGCTGTAGGGTCCCTCCCTTGCAACAATGCAAATCACTTATCGAACCTCATCCAGGGATGACTTTCTTCGGTATAGCCATGGCTGAGGGTATGTGTCTATCTTGTGCGGTGCATCTACTTCGCTAAGCCCGTTATTCCAGCCCTCCTGCTCCTTCGCACCTACGCGTTAATGGGTTGTAGAACCCGCGTTCTCATAACTCTCCTAACTCAATATATTGTACGACACCATCCAGTTGATTCTGCTCTTCTTTTAACTCTCATAGGCTATCGTTATAATAACCATCGTTGTTGTCGCACTGTTCTTGAAAAGTCTCAAATGTCAGCCTCATCTGATGATATGCGGCTACTGCTTCACTGACCGTGTTATAATGCAGTTGGGGCGCCTGTGCTTCCCTCAGTGACGGGATGCCACATGGTCGATGGGAGCATAATACTCGTGGTCGCGTTCATTCTCGTTCTGCTTAACGAGACAGGTACATAGTCCTTTCATTTCAATAAAGTTAACTCTGAAACTTTTCGCAGTGCTCATGATCCTCACACTATGGGTCGGCATAACACGATTTCGGCGTTCACACAGTCCTCTAGTCAAAACACTCTATCGCGATGGCGTCACATATTTTGTATTCCTATTTTGTAACGCAAACTGCTCCCTCCCCCGCCGCCTACTACTCTGACGGAGCCTTTGTAGTGATTTCATTCGCGAATTTGGCGGTTTTAATATGGGGCCCAGTAAGCATCAACTATGCATCTCGGTGCTTCAATGCCTTATCCAGAACAGGTCGAACTGGTGGACCTTTTTACGACGTAAGCTACCGTGAAAGCTCTTTCGCATATACCGTTAACCCCGGACAGATTTCTACGTGTTATGCACAGCGTTCTATCCACGAGGATTGTTCTACATGTTCGGGCAGCGAGCAAACGAGAACTAGATGGAGACATGACCACACGGACTAGTTTCGCTGATCCGATATTTCGAATACCTGGTACAACGATAGACTGCCACTTCGACTAATCCTCGCTATGTACTTACATTGTATGAAATAAATCCATGTACATTTTAGTTGATGTATTTCCGTTGTGTAAGGGCAACCTCAAGGCCCGAGTATACTCAAGAGTCCTGACGAGGGGGATCCGAAGTTAAATATCACAGAGTAGCTACAGATACAAATGGACAGACCTGACGAGGGGGATCCGAAGAGAAGAAAGACTAAGGATCACCCGCGTCAGATCCCGGTATATAAGTAACTACGGACGGGGGGCATGTGATAGCAACCGGAGTGATCGGCAGAGGTCCCGGGCGGAATCACAGGCCATGTGATATCGGGAGGAGCCGGAACGGGTCGGAACGGGACCGGAAGGTCCGGATGCGGAAGCGGAAGGGCCGGAAATAGGGGTTCCCCTGACATCACCCCCCCCTTGGAATGCGGCGCCTCGACGCATAGAACGGATACGGAGGGCCGGGTCCCGGAAGGGGAGCGAGTCGAAAGCGGCGGAGGCGATGGAGCGAGGGGCAGCAGGGTATCTCCGGTAGTAGTCGGCGACGAGTTCCGGGGCGAAAAGGTCGGAATGCTTAACCCATTTATCATGTGAGTTATCATATCCTTTAAACCGACAATAATACCAGAGTCCGCCATAGCGTATCTTGGCTTCCAGGATTTCCTGTACTTCCCACTCCGGCGCGGCGTCCGGAGGGGCCTCTTCGTCGATGACCGGAGGAGGCTCGTCGTAGCCGGGGCGGCCTTCAAAGGGGTCCTCTTCCGCGAGCTGAAGCTTCACGACCGGAAAGACCGGGTGGAGGCCGGAGAGACGGGGGGGGAGCGCAAGCTTATACGCACCTCGGCCGACGACTTGGATGACCTTGAAGGGGCCCAGTCGTCGGTGAGAGAGCTTGACCGAGGGGCGGGTCGTTTGGACGTCCGAGGCATCAACCCAGACACGATCTCCGACCTTGATGTCCGGAGCCGGAGTGCGCCGACGATCGTAGTACCGCTTGAACTCCTCCTTCGCCTTTACCAGAGCTGCGCGGGCTTCGGAGACTCCGGATGCAATCCGGTCTCGGAACTCGTTTACCGACTCAACCTTCGAACGCAAGCCGTTCGGCTCAAAACCCATCTGGGGGAGCCGTCCGGTGTCCGTCATGAACGGGACCTGTTGCGTAGAAGAGTGAATGTGGTTGTTGTAGGCGAATTCCGCGGCCGGAAGGAGCTCGTCCCAGTCATCCTGCTTGTAATTAGTGAAAAGCCGGATGAACTGCTCCATCTCCTGGTTTACCCGCTCCGTCTGCCCGTCGGTCTGCGGGTGGTACGCCGTGGAGGTCGCGGGTTTGATTCCGATGAGGCGCCAGAGCTCCGTGGTGAACTCC